ATTTCCAAGGTTTGATGAGTAATGAATCAGAAAAGGTTAGTGAAGTCAGTCGTCATGCGACCCTCTGACTCATCAGCAACCCGCATAAGTCGGCAACACCACGAGAATAGCATCCAGGGATGAAAAACCGGATTGCGAACGTGAAAGCAGCAATCCTATGATTAGAGAACACTTTCAAGATGGTTTCAAAATGGTAAGTTCAGCTCTCGAGCCCAAAATTGAGTATTTCAGGAGTTGGACGAAAGATTGAACAGCACATTCGAGACGTGTCACGGCCATCCACTCGCTTTTGTGTTGTGCTCGTTGAACTAGACCACAAAACGATAAAACAAATAGCCGAACGAGAGACTGCCAACAATGTGCTAACGGTTGCGAGAGCACAAACACAAAATTTGCGAGCACTGCGAATATGCATTCGTGCCAGGACCTGATTCGCTTCCAAAACATTTTCGTCTTCGTTGGTGTTGTCTCCATTGTGTTCGCTTGCCCCATTAGTTGTTTTGTTCATTTCTTTGTTTTTGCTTATTTTCATCACTTCTCATCGTTAGGAACTTCTGAGAACCAAGGCTTCGGTGGCCTTTTTGGCTGCGTTTGATATTTTTAGATGATTTAGCGTTTATGGGCTGAAGTAGTTTGTAACTCCTTAGAAGTAGGTTTTTTTTCTTCGAATTTGTGGCGATTACTTAGCAAATCGTTTAAACAAGACTCATTAGAGAAGTGGGGATTCGCAGATGTTTAGAATTTCCTATATTTTCAATTGCTTTTTTCTAGCACCAGGTTGTCACTAACAAACATTAGTGGTTCTATAAAATATCCAGGATGCTTAAATAGCTGTTCTAGAGTTGAATCTTCGATCTGGTGTTCACCAAAGTGGTGTGAGGCGTGTCCGTTTGTTGTTTCGAATCAAAACTTTTGCGAAGAGACAGCTTAACATAGGCTTACAAAATTTTTGAGAAGTGACCATCATAATTGTCCTTTTAAAAAGGAGTACATATTCTCTGTTTTGTCGTCATGCTTTCTTTTTCTTTCAAATAAGATTAGACGGACGGATTTCAAGCAAGATTACAAAAAAATATGCAAGCAAAAATGGAGAAGGCATGGCTTTGAGAGGAAAAGTTACGCGAAATTCCTCCATTTTCAAAAAGCTTCTATGACGATTCAAAACTCCTAACTTTATCTTTGTTCACTCATAATTTTTTTGAATGATCACAATTGTAAATTTTGGTGCTATATCGATCAACTATAGTTTTACCTATCGCAGATGGTGGAAAAGAAAGAAGAGGAAAAGAAGCGCCGTTCGCGCTCTGAGTCTTCCAGTAGTACATCATCGTCTGGTAGCTCTTCAAGCAGGTACAATTTGAGAAAAATAGAAGAAATTGAACACTTCATATTTAAAGATTTTTTAGTGATTCATCGGGATCTTCTCGTTCTTCAAGCAGTTCGAGTTCGTCCCGCTCACCCTCTCCTCGTAGTAAGAGAGATTCTGGGAAGGTTAGTACGGTTGTTGCAGGAAGTTGAATATTTGGTCTCTTAAATAGATTAACATTTACAAATGCGGGCAGTGCGCGGCCACCGCCGCATTTATGGCATCAATAGTCACAGCTACGCAGCTTTATCAATAATAATGGTGTGTTTGATGATTGTTATCTTATTTTAGAGATGGGGTAAGAGAAACCGCAGGATAATAGGTGTCCGTGCCCCTGTTATGCGCAGACTCATACTTTCCCTCTCTTATGCAAAAAAAAAAAATTTCAAAATGTTTCTATGTGTCTTCTCTTCTGTAAAAGAGCGACAGCAATATAT